TAAACCTGGGTTTGCCAGCCCTGTCACCCTGAGCACAGCAATTAAGGCTGAAGACCTCAAGGATCTCTTAATGCAGCTGATGAGCTTTCTCAGCAGCTGTCTTCAGCTCTCTCCCTTTCTCTAGAGAAGACACCATTAAATCAAGATACTTCCTGCTGATGTGTGCCCTCACATCCCAAAAAGCCTAAGCTTGAGTAGCCCAGCCCCTGCATTTCCCTGGAAGAATTAAGAAGAAAAGAAGTCCACTCAAAAATGTTTACCACAGTTTCAAGTGATTTTGAGCAAAAGACCATTTTCTCCATGTGAAACATTTCCCACCTTTGCTCACATCTAGTGGGGAAGCACAACCAAAATATGAAACAAGCAAACATAAAACTCCAGTTTGCAGTGGTGGGAATGTTCCTGCTCAAGGATGACATGAGCATAAACCTACCTAACAGATGGAAACCCAACCAAAGCAGTGACTATTGAAAAGTCAGGAAAGCAATATTTCGTTTAGTACAACATTGTCTATTTGAAGCTTAGTTAAATAACCAGTGCTCTCTGCTACAACTTGTGTTCCTGGGAGTACTCCTCACTCTTGGATCTTCTCGTTTATGTTGCCTGTAAAAGTATTTTTAAATATTTCTTACTAAATAACCAGGATGAATGGGGGGGGGGAATCAAGCTAAAAATCATTTAGGTGATGAAAAAAGCCTCACGTGGATTGGATTGTGGAGAAAAATGGCATTTTTGGTGTAAAAAAGGAGACAAAACCCAAGTTATTTCAAAACAATGATGGTACAAAGTGGACTGGGAGCTTCTGGTTTTCTAATCTCAGAACAGTGGAGCAAGAGGGCTTTTTAAAAACCGTGGCAAATTCAAAGCTGAAAACGTTCGTTTGAAAAAGTAAGTTAGGAAACTGTCAAATAATGACACCTCTGGATTATGCAACACGCTGCTATCATGTGCTGTTCATGGCAAGAAGAGAATTTCAGGGCTGCAGAGGGCCCTCTGAGTATCTTCTCACCTCTCCTTGTAGTGCTTCTGCTCCTTTTTCCCTTTCTTGCCACATTTTCCCCTTCTTCCTTTACTCCTCCAGCCTCTTCTTGGGATGGTCACTTAACTCCCACTAATGCACATTCCTCTTTGGGTTCTGGACTGCTTTAAGGTCCCTTCCAAATCAAATCTTCTGGGATTTTATGGTTAAATCCCCAAAATTGAGTGCTGGAGATCTTCGTATTTTTCATTTGACTGGCTTCAAGTTCACCTCCTTTAACTGCTCCTCAAAGACATCAGTTAGGGAAGTTTGCAAAAGGAAACACTTTATACTGAAAAAAATACCTGCAGTATAAACAAGTTCCAGCCAAAACACATTGACTGTACAAAGGATCTGCCTGAAACCAGCCTCAAAAGTCACATCTCTCCAAGGGCTTCCCCTCAGCTTCAAAACATCAAAATTAATAAATTCCTAGAATCACAAAGGCTGGAAAATCCCTCTAAGATCACTAGTCCAACCATTGACTCAGCACTGCCAAAGCCACCACATTTGTACTGGTTTGGGGTCTATAAAATGGCATATCCCTCCCCACTTTTCCTGTATTCAGACTAAAACTGAGAGATCACAAAGGCTGTATGGGTAAACATCTAATGAAGTACCTATGAATGAATTTGTTGTTATCTCCATGCTCTACAACTGTCTGAAATTAGCACCTCACTAGATACAGAAATCCTGGACCCCACATTTCCTCCACAACCCCTTTGACTCAAGGAGTCCCTGAAAAGTGAGCAGACCCACACGACATCAATAATTAAATGTGAACAGATGAAAGGCTGAACTGCTTTGCTGCTATCACAAGGAGGTCAGCAGATCACAGCTCACCAGTGGTCAGGAGTACTCCAAACTGGGACTCTCAGGCCACAGCAGCTGGATTTACAGCTTTAGTCTCCATCAGTGGCTTCTGATGATTTCAGGTATTTCTGCATGATCCATTCTGCCTGTATCTTGCCTCATCCTCTGTTCCAAAACAGCAGAGTTAATAATGAAGATCTATTAGGCAATTGCTGAATAACAAGTACCAAAACAGAGGATACAGAGCTTCTCTTGCCGACAGCTTGCAAAACCCTACAGCTCATCTTTCTCAAAGCTTCATTTCTGCAAGTGTGGAAATGCTCATGTTCTTAAAAAAAAAAAAAAAAAAATAGAAAAGAATCTGAAGGTTCCTGGCCCTCCCAATCGTGGAAGAAACTCTTAAAATCAAGAACTTGCCACCTTGCCATGACTGCTGACTCCTCTGTTTCACCAACAGCTCTGTGTCCATCCTCCTCAACAGCATCAGCTTTCCCTGAGAGGGGGGGAAAAATACCAGGCAAAAAGTCACCTGTTAAAATGATACAGGCATGGAAACAACACAACCTGTATGGAAAATGACCTGCTTCCACAAGTGACAGTGGGAATGTCTCTGCAGGTTTTGCAAGAATCCTTTCCACCAACAGTGTGGGCTGGTCCTGAACCAGCCTGAGAGCTGCTCATCATTGCATTTTCTCCACCATCAAGCCCACAATTATATGTTGCTCCTGGACACTGTTATTTTAATACACTTTGAAAGAAACAGAATTATATATTTTTAAGCTTTCTACTTTAAAAATCACATTCATCAAGAACTGGAAAAATCCTATCATTCGAGCTCTTCATAGGGCACTGTGCAGATTTATTCAACAAAGGGGGATGAAGGAAACAAGGTCTGGCTTGAAGAAATGCACCTGGATTACAACAATTTTTGTATGATTTTCTGACTTGCTAAAAATATTTATTAATGGTGTTCATTTACCTTCTAAATTTTCAAAATTAAATACTGGAGGAAATATGAATACTTCTTCACCAGAACCATCTTAATGGAATCCAGAAGAAGAATATTAATACCCAGTGCAATTGTTTACTTTGATGTCTATATAATATGCAGTGACCCCTAAGTGGAATGAGCAAAAACTGTCATAAATTCATTATGAGAAACCATTCTTTGAAGAATATCAATGCAAATTTGAAATGAAATGGGCATTATGGAAATGAGCTAATTGCACAGCGTTTAAAATAACTAGCTCCAGTAACAATGTCCTTTCTGTGCACCTCTATTTCTGCTGCAAAAGCACTGGAAAGGCTGGGTTATGAAAATTGAAATGCTGTAATTACTTAGTACTGATAGTGGTAGGGCAGCATTCATTTAGGATCTCAGACTCCGGGGAAAAAAATCCAAAGGATGATTCTATAATTCTCATTTCTCTGAGAAAGGGAACCTTGGATGGCACGCACAGCGAAATGTGACAACCCCAGCCCTGTCAACAAAGACTGGAGGAAAATATATATATTCTTAGGGGGTTTTCTAGGTACCATCTTATAAAAGTAGAATGCAAAATTTCTCTTAGTATCCTACAAAGGTTTGGGTTGGAAGGGACCTTAAAGCTCATGCCAGTGCCACCCCCTGCCATGGGCAGGGACACCTTCCACTGTCCCCAGCTGCCCCAAGCCCCATCCAACCCGGCCTTGGACACTTTCAGGAATGGGGCACCAGGCATCCAGAACCATAAAGGTATTTTCCTCCACGGACCTGGAATGTCCCTTCCCCAAGTGGGGCCCAGCCCCTGCTTTGCCCTCTCTGTCCCAGCGCTGCTCAGAGCGGCTCTGCCTGGGGGAACCCCACGTTTGCCCCTGCAGGTGCCCAGGGGTGCCCAGCCCATCCACCTCCTTCATCCCAGCGTGAACCCTGCCACCTCAGGCAGAAGGAGTTTGGTATCACACCTCTCCCTCCCTCATCTACTTACTTTTGAATTTTAATCACTGGCTTCCCTTTACTCCCTGATTTTGGAGCTGCATTTTTGTAGCGCGGCTTTTGTTTGTGGTTTGTTTCTTCAAGTGGAGGGAGGGGAGTCCAGATGTGGAGCAGCTCCACGTTGGGCTGAGAGGAACCTGTGGGACCTGTTCCCACAGAGCTGCCCCGGGCCCTGGGGTTTGGCTGACACAGCATCTGGGCAAGGTGGATGCCTGTCCCTGTGGGAAAACGTGTGGGGGAGCAGCTGGCTCTGGAGCCCTCCGTTCCCTGCTCTCCCTCCCAGCTCTCAGCAGCACAGGAGCTGTGTGGATGAACAGCACAGGCACCTCTGCACATTAGCCCATCTCCATGCACATCTGGTGATGCCCACTTTGTCCTTTTAGCACTCCTATGCCTCAGGAACCAAAGAAAAAGGGCGTCTCAATTTCATTTCTATTTCCCCTCCCACAATGACCCAAGCTTCATTTTGCTGTGGGTTTTACCCTGCCTGGATTCCAAGACAAGAACCAACAACAATTCCAAGTATTTCATTAAGCTGAGGTTATATATGTATACACAAATATGTATATGCTACATCTATATGTACTGGTATTCCATTCCTAAAGAGGCTCCAAGAGAGGTGGAGATGGGAATTTGGACAAGGGGGAATGGCTTCAAACTCACAGAGGGAAGGGCTGGGTGAGCTACTGAGCTCCTCCCTGTGAGGGTGGTGAGGCCCTGGCACAGGTTGCCCCATCCCTGGAAATGCCCAAGGCTAGCTTGGATGGGGCTTGGAGCAATCTGGGATAGTGGAAGGTGTGCCCACGGCAGGGGGTGGCACTGGATGGGCTTTAATGTCCTTCCAACCTAAACCAACCTGGGATTCTGTGATCTGAAAGCAGAAGGGAAAAGAGGGGGCCAAGACACAGAGAAATTAATAGCCTCTCCTTTATATATAGAAAATATATTCCTAGATATCCATCCTTCACAGTGGATAATGACCCAACAGGATGAAGCTTTCCCAACACTTGTACTGGAGCTGACCCTGTGCTGGTAGAACAGGGCTCCTGGACAATGTCACACACAGCAAGGAAAGCAAACAAGGGGCCAGTGCAAGATTTAACACACCAAACTCTTCAGGATAGACAAAACCCAGGAAAACCTCTTCTTTCTAAGGGCTTGAAGGCTCTCAGGCATTTTTAGTTTCTTTCCCCTTATAAGCAGAGCATGAGCAAGTTCTATCCTGAAATTGTTTGTTCTGAAACACTGCCCCGGCACAATGGTTTAAAATAAATAATTAGGATATTAGAGAGAGAAATCTTCACACTGGCATATGCATTAATACATGTTAACTTCAGTTTTTACAAAGCTCTTCACCAATGTACCAGTAGTGAAATAAAAATGCAGTTATGCATTTAAAACACTGCAATTTAAAGCTTACCTAGCAATAATAAGTAGCACTGTCTTTAAGTATTTTTAAAGTACCAAATTAATTGTATTTCCATGCTTAAATTTTCCCTCGTGGCATTTTATATCTGCAGAAAGGAAAACACCACAAGTACCTCTAATAAACTTAGTGGTGGCTACTCTATTTCTTTTAGATGGGTTATTTCTTTTTTATTTCATTTTTAGCACCTAGATTGGGCAGGTTGGTAATAGAATTAAAATGTATTTTCCTTAATTGATGTGGAATTTGACATATACCAATCTTCGCACTGCAAATCAAAAATATTTATGATTGATGTATCTATAACATGCATTTTACATCTTGTGTATAATATATATATTTAAATAAGGGTCTTCCCTTTCACATATTACATTTTATATGGCTATTAAGGTGTTTCATTCTGCATTTTCTGCCAGGATTTTAATTTCACACACTTCACCTATCACATATTACTGTCTACTTTAAACACATCACTACAGAAAATGATGACTGGTGCTGAATACAGAGTCACGGAGGCGAGGGTTTGCAATTCCAAGTAATGTGGATCTGGGTGATAAATGGAGAACAGCAGCTGGGCTGAGAAGCTCAAGAGAGACAAAAATCACATTTGCAGGTAAGTGGAGTGGAAATTTGTGGAAATTGGGTAAAACAAAAAGCAAAACATTGTTATTAAAGGTGGAGTGAGAGGTAGCAAGAGCAACAAAGAGGCAATTTTCTCCCAGCTCCAGTAGGAATTCATCTCAAGCTCTAACATGCAATTTCACTGTGGAGCTCCAGGATGAAATGCAGGATTATATCTAATTGTTTTGAGGTTTGAATAACGAAGCATAAAAATCCCAGTAAGTGGCCTTTTGTGCCAGTGCAGCCGAGAAAAGGATGAATAAAAGTTACAAAAATATCCAAAACCTGAACTGCAATAAATATCAAGATAACCACTCAACAGAAAAGAAATGGAACTTTAGGGATTTGGTATTTTCAGGGATAGCTGTACTATGACAGCCCAGTTCAGAGGAAAATTGATCCAGCTCCTGAAGTTTGCCAAAGCAATGCTAAGCTGCAGGAATATCACACACTTTCTCATTTTACCTTTTCTGGCAATAATATTTTACAATGGAAAGCCAGGAGTGCTGTGAGAGTATGGAAATGAGGACAATTAAATCTGCCCTGTTACGAGTATTAATAAGGCTGTTATGTAATTGTATTCTGTATATTTAACACGTGGTGGTAAAGATAAACAATCCTTTCCAAACAAAAAGTTAATAGGTTTTTATTAATGTATTATTTATTTTGGTCATAGCTGCTTGTAAAGTATTAATACTGCCTGAGTTTTGGCATTTTAGCTTTCAGAGTGACAAATCCATGTGACTAGCCACCATTAGCTTTGGCTACTACTTAGGGCCAAAAAAACCCCATCCACATCTGCTGAGTGGCAAACTCAATGCTGGCAAAACTGCCTTTGTTTTGGAGAAGGCTTATAATAAAACCTTCCCCCAGGAAGATGGGAAAATGCAGGAGAGGTTTTCTAGAGCCACTGTGGAGTTGTGGGGAGCTGAAGTTTAGTTTTAACACATAATAGAGTTCATGCCCCAAGCTGGGCATGGAGACAAAGCCCAGGATCCCAATAAAACATCCCAGCCAGGCTTTCTGCTTCTGAACTCACAATTAACCATCCTAGCTGCTCATTTAGCTCCAGGAATAACAGCACACACATGACCTTCTATGCACCATCTCACATGAAAATTAGCACAGCTTCCACGTTTTCTTACACGTGTGTAAATTTACATATTTATACAGCACTTGTGATTTAAAAACATATATATGTAGTACATATTGCTTCCTTCTTTCACCTATCTACTAGTTCTTCATTGATCTGACTCCAAACATTCCTGGTTTAGCTGAGCAGCCACCAAAGCACGTGGTACAGTGACAGCATCCAGTGTAGCCCCAGCTCTCCAGCACCTAATCCTGCTACATCCCATTGCCATCCTGCAGGCTGGGGTGTGGATGGGATGTGGGACTGTCAGCTCGAGTGCAATGACTCTGGCTTGTTTTGAGGGTGGAGATGCTCTGGAAGGTGTCAGAGGTACCTGGAATGAAACCAGGAGCAGAGAGATCCCAGTGGCAGGTGGAGAACTGGAGAAACCACCTGACTAAAGAAGTGAATCAGGCCTATGGATACAAAGGAATGGCAGGAAAATAAGCTTAGTTTATCTTTTCTTATTTTCTTTTTTTCCCCCTTTTCAAAAGCCCGCATTTTAATCCAAGGGGGCCTTTGACTCCACCAGAAAATGTCTTCCCATGGAGCATCTTGTGTCTTCCCTGGCAGACAGCCCTAGCACAGCCATTCCCATTGGCAATGTCTTAGGAGCATTTCTGCTTTACTGTGCCAGACCTGCTCAAGTTTTGAGGCCTGCTTAAGACTCAGGATGAAACTGAGAAGATGGTGATTCACTGACAGAGCCTCACCTCTCCCACAGATACCCACATTTGTACCAGCCCTCCTGTGGCTCCTCCTCAAGCAGAGTCAAAGCCTGGGACTCTGACCTCAGCACCCAGTGTGAAATGAGAGTTTCCCTGATGACTGCCATGTCCTCCCATTCTCTTTATCTATTCATGTGACCTTCTTTCCCCCTGACTCAGAAATACTGCAGCACCAAAGGCAGAGATGGCAGCTCATCAAAGAGCCCAAGTTGCAAGGGAAGCGGGTTTATTCTCACTTGAGCTGAGATCTTTTATTTTTAAGCAAGACTTCAAAATACCTTTAAAAAGTAACAGAGATGATAATGGGATTGAAAAATTCAGTGGCATCCGAATAACATAATTCAGGCACCAGTATCAGGGGATAAGATAACCCACCCGGAGCAGTTCCAGGCACTGAGCTTACACATCTCATCTGGGCTGTGTTTCCGAAGGAGATGTGAATTTGCAGCCCTGTGACAATAAAGAAATGTGAGATTAAGAAACAAGGGAGGAGGAAAAAGGGCCAGGCCATTCTCCCACCACCTTTTCTTGTTCCTAAAATTTCAGTTGCCTGGAAATGGCTGATGAGAAGATGGGATTATGTAAGTGCTTGCCAACTTCTCACACGTTAAGGAAATTAAAGCCTCAATGATGAATAGCTTAACCCATCTTCTAAGCAGTAAGCTCAAACATTTTTACTAAGGAAAACTCGAATAGTGAAACCCCTTTAAAAAAACCAGAAGCAATGAAGACTTGACAATTCCTAGGATTAAAAAGCTGCATATATAACAGACAAGGTAATCTCCTTATAGTAAGATGAGGAAAAGGAAAATAAAGCCTTTTTCGTGGGTAAGACAGTTTTTGTTTTAAAGCATATCCATCCTGTCTGGCTGAAGACTTTCTTGTGTTATTGACTTTTTTTTTTTCTCGTGATAAACATGACAGAGAAGAGCTACACCAGCCTTCCAAATCCTTATTGTTACATTTTCCAACAAACTGACTGCTCCCATCAAACATGACCCACCAATAATAAAATAAGAAGCACTGTGCTCTTCCTACATTTAATCAGGTGAACACTTGGGTGCTGCAAGACAGCTACACCAACCAAAGTGCCAGATAGCTTGGGGTAGTTTTGAATATACCTTCAGCAAATGTGTCAACCCAGCAGACCTGAGCTTTCCTGAACTCTTCCTCACTGTCATTCCAGTGACATGGTACCTTCTGCAAATACTCTCTTTTAACTACAGCTGAAGGCCAGTTGAAAATCTAATGTAGAATGACAGTATCTCCAGAGCTGGAAGGCACTCACAGGGATCACTGACTCCAACTCCTGGCCCTGCACAGGACTCCCCAACAATCTGTTAAAAACCTCTGAAAAAAAACTGAGTGCTGCTCCAAGCTGAAGTTCCACCACCCACTGAAGCATCAGCAATGCAAAACTGCAGGTAGCAAACAGCTGATCTGGAGGTTGAAGAAGAAATCTTATTGACTGCTGCTCAGCCACAGGATAGGGCAGCAAAATAAATTCCATTTGCTACAAGAATGCACCTGTAATTGAGTAAAGTATGTGTGTCTAGGAGAGGAAATATAAAGTAGCCAGGTTGCTGGAGCTCACACCTTTATGAAAAGTAAAAAATCCCAAACAGTGGCTTTTTCTACAGCTGCCTAATAATGGCAAAAGGCAAATCCTCAGCTGCTGATAATGGTTATGGTTCCACTGGAATCTGCTGCTGCTGTTTCCCCTCTGGACCTACAGATGGTGGGAGGAAAACTCAACCATTCTACATGAAGAAAAGCTGCACTGAATGAGTGGAACCAGATGTGAAAACTTGCACCCAACTACAAGAATTGTGGGATGTCTTTGAACACTACAACTGGGCAAAGCCCCAGCCAGCCAATAACAAAACCTATGGTCCTTCAGCTTTAGAAGAGAAGAAACAACTTCTCAGAAATGCCAGAAGTGACTCAACTGTGATTGTTAAGCTGCTTCAACAGCATTTTTGTTATTTCAAGTAGTTTTAAGAGTTTACCTGTGATTGCATTCCCTTAAGTGGAACTATGAGCAGGCAAAGTGCTCAAATCGGGGCGAAAGAAACACACACGATTTTTGTGACAGCTATGTTATGAATATATTGTTTTTTTCTGTTCCAAACTGCTTTCCCTGGGAATTTTAAAATACAGAAAACCAGCAAGTGTAGAGCAAATAATACCTACATAAGTAGGTCATTTTCTTAATGGCAATGAAGTGCTGTTTTACTCCAGCTTGTTTGTAACAAAGACACACACGTTTCCAAATAAAGAGTATTTCTGGATCTGCAAGGGAGGGGAGTGACTTATAATCATGGAGGCACTCATTCCAAGATAAAGTAGAGCCTAATTCAGAAAGACAAGCGGGAAAGAGTCGTGTTTTGCACCTTCCATGAGAGCTTTGCAGGGAGTTGTGACATTTTGGAGAAAATCCTCTTGCCACGCATAAGCTGGAGCTGGAGGGTGCTGCACACTGCATATTCCATTACAAAAGCAGAGCCACGTTAGTTCATTAGAGAAGTGATAAGTTCAATCCTTACCAAGTTTTCTTGGTTCCTGGCTGCTATTTTCTGATCATCTTCTCCCCCATTTTTCATGTATTTGACCTCTTCCACTGGTTTGATCCTATACTCATCTGAGCACCAAGAAAAAAAAAAAGAAAAAAAAATTTGAACCAGTGTAGTTCAGCAGCTGGGAGAAAAACCAAACTAAAAACAAAACAGCTGACTAGAATAGACCCTAGTTAAGCAAAGCAAAACTAAAAATTACATGTATATCTTTTCAAAGGCTTACATGTGACTAATACAAAGGAAGTTTCTCCTGCCTGAAGCTTCAGTAAGAATTTCAGTAGCTCTCTGGTCTAGTAAAGCCATGGCACCAGGAAATAGGGATGTTTGGTGTGTAATCTCTCCCAGATCTCTAGTTTTCTGTTCAATAGGAACAAGTTCTTTGCTCCTGCATCCTCCCTGGATTTTCATTCTCAGTGGACCAACAAGCCATGTACAATGGTTACTGGAGAGAAGGCTGCTCATGGGTGTTCCTTGCACAGCAAAGCTGATGGAGGCTACTGAAAATGGAGGTTAGAAGCTGGAAAAAAGCCAACCCAAATCATAACCACTTTGCCTTTTTTTAGATTTTGTTTTTCCTAATGACACAAGGCACAGTCCTAAAATGATTTCTAGAGAAAAGGCCCCATGCTGACCATCTTCCTCTTCCCACTTCCCCCACCAACCACTATTTTTCCTGTACACAAATGTTGCCCAGACAGAAATTCAGCCTGAAAATAAGTAAGAAAAGTAAGATTCTTTGTTTGTCCTTAATATTTATCAGCTCTTCAAATACTAGAATTCCCAGCTCTGGCTATGTTACCTAACATACAGGTGCTATACCACAGTAAATCCAAAACTCCAACAAGGGATATTTTTTCCTTGGTAGGATGAGATGGGATTTCAGGAAAAATGATTCTTCCCTGCAGCCTGTGAGTCCAGGTCTTGCAGGGCCCTGCCCTTGCTCAGTCACTTTTTGCCCTGGTTATCTCTGTAGCATGTGAATTTATTGGAAAAAAACCCCAGAGTTGTGCATCCACCCTCCTCCAGCCAGAATAAACAATGCAGAAGAGAAACTTCATCCCACAAAAGTGGAAATTACTAATACAAAGTGAAATGAAACACAGTATACTCAGAATAAGGGGCAAAACCATGGCAAATTAGAAGACACTGCACAAACTTTCCTCTTTTTCTTTGGGTTTTCAAGCAATTTCTCTCACTTACACTAAAGCAAAAACAAAGTACAGACAAATTTTTCTGGGTTACTGTATTGTGAAAAAAGAATCAATATTATTTAGACAAAGTTGTTGTCAGGAAACTGTTAACCACAGAGTCTAGAAGTTAAATGAGCCTTGATTTGAAAAGTAAGGCTTATTTTTATAATAAACTTGTTTCAAAAACAATCTTATTTTAAAAAATACATCATGGTTTTATATTTGGTCTCGTCCCATCTATAAATTTTTGTTATTATAGAGTTCAAATAAACTGAATCTATCAAATAGAAGCATTTCAGATGCAGTCTCAAATCAGATGAAAGCATTTAAGACAATATTATCAGACTGGCAAATGTGAACAACTCTGAGGTGTTGTTTTTTCTCTTTTTTTTCCAGTGTAATTCAGCTAGTCTGGAGGTGACAATTCATAAACCCAAAAGGGCTGAACACAATAAAGCCTGGGAATTAGAAGTAGTTGATTGACTGCAATTATCTAACTTACATTTTCCTCCCTGCCTCAGTGCTCTCTGTTGTGATTAGCAATAAAACCCACACACAGAAAAAGCATCAAACTCCCACAGAGGCATGCAAGGATCTGAATGGGGAAACAGATGAGCAAGAGAAAGCAGCACAAAGGACATTTCCCAACCCACAGCCAGGCCATGTGCACTGGAGGAGAGAGGAAGTTCAGCCCAGCCTTGTGGAAAACAAGGAAGGTATGGAGGGGTTGACGTTCCACGGCAAAAATAACCCTGAAATGTGTCTGCTGCCTATTCCAAGAGATTAATTGTGATCAAACACCACATCCAGGCAGCAGCTGATCCTGTGGGGATGGTACAGGAGAGATGCTTCCTTGGACACATCATCTCTGGGAGCAAGTCAACCAGGGCACCAAGGAGTCCCTGACTGATAGCCAGGATAATCTGACTGACATCTGAAATTTTGATACATCTGGATAGAACAGAGTCTTCTTAGAGATCAAAAATTTTAAATTCACAATGGACGTGGGCACAGATCCTTCAAATGCTTCATCATTTGCCAGATGCATCAAGTAGCTCTGAACTGGTGGCAGAGAACTGTGCACAGATTTCTTATGATATTTCCAGAGATATTTCCAACAGTGTTAGTTAACTTCAATACTTTCCTGATGATACAACTATTCAATTCTCTCCAGCATAGTTGGTGTTACTCTCCCCTCCATCCTACCAACTGCAGAAGTGCAGACACCTGGATCATTTATGCCCAAGATATGCAAGAGGCAAAAAAGTTTCCAAAAACAAACCAATCACTTTTCATAACGTTTTTTGGACAAGTTGAATGCACCACAGCAAACAGCAAGTCTTACTTTGCAGCAATCCAACTTCTCCTTAGGGGAATGGCTTTCCACTGCCAGAGGGCAGGGTTAGATGGAATACTGGGTAGGAACTGTTCCCTGTGAGGACGGTGACACCCTGGCACAGGGTGCCCAGAGAAGCTGTGGCTGCCCCTGGATCTCTGGGAGTATCCAAGACCAGGTTGGACAGGGCTTGGAGCAACCTGGGCTAGTGGAAGGTGTCCCTGCCCTTGGCAGGGGGTGGCACTGGATGGGCTTTAAGATCCCTTTCAATCCAAACCATTCTGTGATTCTGTGAATACAGATTAAAAAAAAAAAAAATCAGGAAGCCCCTGCAGATGTTGACAGAATCAGCCTAGTAATAGAAAGTGTCTTACAAAATTAATATAAATGTCCTGGCTCTAATAGATGGTATGTGTTTGAGCAGAAGAAATCCCTGCTTGTATCTCAAAAAGCAATAAAGCTTTGACACAATCTAAAGCTGAGGATCTGCTTTAAAGGCCAAGAGATTATCTCCTGGGATGAGACACACTGGGGAGGGAGCTGGGGGCCAGCACTCAGGCTCCAGTGCCTCAGGCAGTGATGAAGAGCCTGGAGTGCCAGGCAGTTTCCAGCCCCAGCAATCCCAGGGGCTCTGGGCAAGCCATGCACACACGAAGACCAGAGCAAAAGGCAAACGCAGCACCAGCCTGTGGAAAGGCAGGGATCAGCTTCACTTTGCTGAATAACTGAGCCATCAACAACTGTTTTATCAGCTACACACACAAATAAATGAAGGGAGCAGATCAGAGACTCATTATGTTTGAAGCAACATCATTACTCATAAGCTATCCTAGTTCCCTATCACAACCAAAATACTTTCCTTAAAACAAGGAGCACTGATACAACACACTGGTAACATCTGTTAGTATTGAGTACTCTCCTGCTGGAAGGAGGTAAAAATAGACATGATTCCACTCTGCAAGGGAAAAGAGCAGCTAAATAATTATACAGAATTATATAGCTAGGGAGGACACTGCTTGCTGCTGTAACACCTTATTCACAGGTAAGGCAACATCCTTTATTTCAAATATACTAAATATAGCAATTACAATCATTATTTGCAGAAGATGGACACAATGATGTATACACTTTTTTTGACTAGGTGAAGACAAAATTTGTCTTCTATAGATACCTTACACATAAGGTAAGGTGTTCAGAAACTACAGATTCTGAGCTATTTATGAGATTGCTCTTATTCTAAAGTTACTGGCAGGATGAAAGCACTGCAAGTGCAAAAGGGATGTTTATGCAACACACAGACCTTCAAGTAGATCATGAGGTGTATGGTCATTAATAGTTTTAGGTGAATATGAAAATTAGATTAAAGACAGGTTGGATGAATGGGCCCTTCATGCCTTTCCTGTAGGTATGTGCAAATAACTGCTAACCTGGTTTTGCTCAGTAAGGTAAGAGTGACCTAGAATTGAAGAAGTAAAGGATGATAAAAACCATCTTTTAAGTTTTACCTTCTGATTTCTACTGGAGTAAACAGCATTTTGAGGTATTTTGGTGTGAGTGATCAGAAACAATTCCAGAGAAATCCTGAAATGTTGACTGAGATCCAGTAGGACCTCATTAAGTCTGGCAGCCAACAACTCCTTTAAAACTGTAAGAAGTTCAGGACAAAGGAAATCTGTATTCTCTGCATATTTACCTTGGTCTTTTTCCTAAATATAGTTTTATATTAAAAAGAAAAGTGAAACATGTCCATGCTTCTTTCTTTACAAAACTAAAAATCAAGTACTGAATATGATAAAAAAATTAGGACACTATCACTCAGAATGTGATATATCATATGTAAAGAGAAATGCATCCTTATGCTCCTTTCAGGAGTAAAAACAAAATCAAGTCTCATCTTCTATTGTGTGCTGTATTATATAAAAGAGAAAAATTTCCAATAACTCATATGGGGGAGGAATGGCTTTACAAGACTGTCACAGCAAATCCTGAGTTGAAGAAAAGCAACTCAATTAAATCGAAAGAAAAACAACATAAATGAACCACAAAAGACAGAAATATTGCGAGCATAACACCCACCACAAAATCACAGGTTATAAACCAGAAAGCAGGAACACTTCTAGCTCCAAACTGTGGAAAGGCATAGGGAGGAAGAATTTTGAAGTTGAATCTGCTGCAAAAATTCTCAGCAGGCAAATCTTATGAATGAAGATCTCCATCTGGAAACAGATAATTCCACTCAAACATGTCACCCGGTTGCCATGGCAATGTGACAAAGAAAAACAGCACTCATTAATAACAATTTCAGTGATAAATGAGCATATCAACTTAGAATATTGAAACAATTACTGGGTGGGGGGTGCAAAACTGTGGTGGTTCCCATGAGAAAAATGTCTTCAGCACTTCCAGACACGGCTGTAAGTGCCTTTACCACAGGAACATGGGCAGTGGCACTAATTCTAGCTCAGTTTAAAGGAAAGAACATACCAGAAAAAAAGCATAACTTCGTTAAATGCATCTAGAGTCGCTGTGACTTTCAGAG